CCCCCCCTCCCCCGCCGCCCTTCTCTTTAATCCGGGGAGAGATCCTCGCTCATCCCACTGGTGTCTCTACGAATTTAAAGGCCTGGAGACCTTCAGCTCCTCCTTCCCCCTCGCCCCCAGTCCCTTCGTCTCTAAATTACCACAATTTTAGATAGCTTTTAGATTTAGGTAACTACTGGTAGTGTTTGTAGTCAAAGTATCCTAAGTATTTCTTCAGGAAAAGCTCTTAAGTATTGTCAGCCAACTTCTTAATTTGTAAACGTGATATGCTTCTGCGATGTTCTCTCTTCTTCCTTTCTTTCCGTCTTTCCTCTGTCATGAGTGGTTTACTCATGCTAAATAAATAGATAAAATGACCTAACTTATTTGAGGTGGCAGAAAAGTGGATGTTAGTAGGCTCGTAGTTCGCTAATCAGAGTAGGTCATGAAGGACGTGGGACATTCCACACACAGGACATAGTTTCAGTTGTCTGTTTATCTCCTTCCTAAACTGTGAAGCTAGCACCATGCATTCCTGAGGGGGAGGAAAAAGGGAAGGGACTTACTTCAACCCTGAGTTCTTCAAGCTGGTCTTTAGGAAAATTGAAGGCACTGGAATACAAATACAGGGAGATTATTGCTGAGGTTTTGAGCATAAAATTTGGGTCTCTGGACTTATTATCGGATCCAGAAAATAACCTAAAAAATAAATCAGGTAATTGTAGTTTCAACATTTGTTTTATGCTGTAACATTACTGTTGAAATTGAGTGTTAGAAACGATAAATGCATTAACGTCAATGGAAACCGATGTTCTTAAATATCTTCAGCACTTTTCAGAGCAGTGAAAAATTATACAGGAAGACACAAGAGTAGAGGCTCTCATTTCTGTACCTCTAGGAGTCTGTTTTTATCCAAGAGTTCTAAAACTGATAAGATGATGAACAGTTTGCTCCTGAAAACGTATCATGACTAAGTATCTTGTCCATTAATCTATCATTTGTGTTGGTAAGGTTTTAATGGTATGGTCTAATTAGACTGTACTAGAGGAGTTAGCTCAGAAATCCAGTGGTTCCAGCTAGGTAGGTGTGAACTAAGGAAAGCAAATATAGATCGAAGAACTCTGTTCTTCGCTTAAGACGATCTGGAAGACTGTCTATGCAACTTCTACAAGAAACATGATGTTCTTAATTTTAAGCTAAAATAGCTTTGTTTTATTTTTCCCCTCATAATATTGTTTCCAATCTTGTAACTCTTGGCTTTAATTAAAGAGTTGGACTGCAAGTCCTGCCAGATAGATTATCAGTGTATATTTTAATGGCTGCTTTAATGGTTGTCTAATTTTTGGCAGCTGAGCTGAACCACAATAACGAAGGTAAATCAATGGTCTCTGAAACTCCAGACACGCATAGGAAACTCAAAGACTTTTGCAATAATGGTGCATGTTTCCGGTCTGCAGAAAGCCAAGGTGAAAATTGTGAAAGGTGAAATTGTGTTATCAGCTGCTGACTGTAGAGTCACCTGAATGTCTGGTTTGTGTAGTTAAGTGCTACCTGGCTGCAGTGAAGCGCACTGTGGGGACATTGGCAAGCTCTAGTTCATCTCAGCCATCACTTAGTTAAGGCCCAAAGGTTATGGTTTCCTCCTAGATATTTACTGTGTTAAACATCATGAACATTGTAGATGCAGGGGATTGTTTTTACTGGAGTGTTTTCTTTTTTTTTTGTTTTGTTTTGTGAAGGAAAATTGGCATTAAGAAAAGTGAAAAATAGTAATAAAAATGATTTATATCCCTTTTGTCTCTAATAAAAGTGCACTACGCATAAAACCATATTTTTTATCTTAAATATTAACATAATTTTTTTTACTGTAGGCAAGTTACAGTTTTTCAAAGTGTGTATACTATTTATGTCTGAAATGTATAGTGTTGCAATAAAAATGTGATTTTTTTTTGATGTGTTCTCTGTGTACTGTATCACTATGTGGACTAGAAATGGAGAGATGGGCATAAATAGTGAGTGCTTACCGTGGGATGTTGTCACAGATTTAGCTGAGTTTTTTCTCTTAGTACTCAGTTACATGTAACAAAAGTCTTCCCAAGTCATTGACTTGGGGTTGTTTTATGCTTGCTGTGTAGTGTTTAGCTGTTAGCTATGCTTAGTATAGGAAGAAGACAAAAACCTAGCATTAATGCTACATTAACACTTTTAGGTTTTATTCCACACTTTGTAATTTTTTTTTTTTTTAGTTTTAATCCAGACTGTATACAATGTTTCTGTAATATCCTGGACAACTAATTTAAATATATGCCTATTTGTCATTATCTGCAAACTGGTGATTCTTTCTGTTATCGCAGGAATAATTAGAGATGTGGTTACTAATTCTACACAGCTTTAATCAGATAAAGTGCTAGATAATTACAGTTAACCAAATGGTGTACTTCTGATTGTGACTTGTTTCTCTTTGTAGAAAACTAAAAACTGAAGCTAAGATTGACTGT